CTCTCTCTGTTCATGTTCTGCTCAATATGTCGAAGCCGGCACTTAACTGCCTGATTGAATTCAGTCGAAGCACAGAAGTAAAAGAAAGTTCTGTGGGGATGTCGAATTTTCCGACTCTGACACAGCGGAACGCATGACATATAGCCTCTGCACGCTGCAGTGCAGTCGGATCTAATTTGAATAGCAAGAATGCGATAATCGACTGGCATCCCACTGATCGAAATTTCTACAAGTTTCAGTGAGCTACATCTCTTCATACTTGATTTTTGGATTCTTGAAGCTTCTGTCCTGAGCAGGTCTTTACAGCGCAGTTTTATTTTGCACTGTTAGCCCCAGTTTATTTTAAAACAAGTTCTTCGAGGATGTTTAGTACTTTTTCTTGTTTGTTGGGATCTTCAACTTTGGCCGTCTTAAATATGCGTTGGTGTGAGATCGTCTTGCATATTCATCCAGCCTTATTCCCCTTTTCTTCAACACATTAAAGAAACATTTTTTTCCAAACGCAGATCTGATTCACCGTGTTCATTTGTTCATCCATATTTTATGCTAGTCTCCATGTCGATATCTAACATGTTTCGGCTTCCATATTGGTAGCTCGCGGGCTGGAGCAGAGAGTTTCTTTTCAGCCAGTTTGTGTAACAGAACTAACCTCATTTATATTTATTTATTTGTTGGAAATATCAATGTCCGAAAGTGAATAAAATCATTTCTATGTAACACTCATTATGCATAAAAGCCAACACCACTGTTCAACTGTACTTTTTAGTCCGATGGTTTTCTTACGTACAGTATGATCTATCTGACAGGCATTCTGCAGGCAGACTTTTGTGTGATGACATACTCCTTTATCAGCCAAAGTGGGGGGGGGGCAGGGACCCAAATGCACTGTAATGGATTCTTCGCATTTGACTCTGACTTGCTGGTACACTGCGTGGAAACGATGGAAATGAGCTACGTAAACAAGTCCGTGTCAGCGTGACGTAAATGTTTCTTCCTAACTGCTCCAAGAATTTACTCCAAAGCACATCGACAAGATTTATAGACCATCGGCGGAAAATGTGGTGATAATGTGCCTAAGATGATGTGTCTGTTCAGGCTAAAACCTGTTCAGATCTTCTTAAATTTACAGTTTACACCTAGTGTTGTCGTTTAGTCAGCTGTCGGGGTAGTTAGAACGAATTTCACCGCTATACCCTCGCAAGTTCTGGCATGATCACACCTAAAACCATTCTATGCTCAGGTTATTGAATTCCTGCTTTTTTTGGCTAGAGCCAAAGCACGACCGAATGAAATCAAATAAGGTAGTCATTCAGAAGACTTTATTGCTTAAATTAGATGAAGCAGTGCGGCAAACTAACACTGACTGACATTTTCTCCGACTCTGATTCTTTGAATACAATGATATGCTTCTGTCCAAGAATAAAATTCACAGCCATAAGGGACGAGGATGATTTCCTTGCTCAAAGGAACTGGCAGTTAATAGGGTAATATCGATGCTGCGTCGGCAGTGGAAGCCTGTATGTCTCAACTGCACAGTAGAGGACGCATCCACAGAATCACTGCCTCAGGGTCATTCGTTTTTTAACAATATCTTCTGATGAGATAACTGAAGAAGACGGGAGCTGGTTTGATCCTTATGAATGTTTTGTTTGTTTGATGTTTTAAACTTTCTGTTTGTATTATCTTTTTGCTTGTATTTGAAGGTGTGCGATCTGCTTGCTACACGATGCTTCTAACTTCTGACGTGAAGAAATATGTTGGTCATCTTTAAGAACTGGCGTTTCTGGAATGGTAGCAGTTTATGCAGCTCAGATATGAAAGGTTAAAATCCGTGATCTGATTCGAACTGTGATTACATTTCGCCCTGGTTGCATGTTATTCCTTTCCTGCCGCTTCTCATTTAACCTCTACTGATGCATTAGGCAAGTAGTTTGAAATATTTAACATTGAAACACCACTCATAAGCTTGACTCAACCTTCGATTCCAAAAGACGTACACGGAACAAGTTGTTGTTTAAATTTATGAGTTAAGTATTCCAGAGGCCTGCTGAACATAACTAGTTATCCGTTACTGATAAACCTGAAAATCCGTTGTCTTCTGTATGCCTATTAGTACTAAGCCTATCACGATACTTAAGTCTCATCAGTGTTGTTTTTATGTTTAAGTTTACGTCGTGGCTTTAATGTATTCTGAGGCCAAGGCATTTATGCGGTTCAAACCACTCATTACCACTCGACTGAAAAGGATATTAGTTTCAGTCTATACCGGATGATTATTGTCTCCTTGACACGCCTGTGCAGCCGTTGTCTCTGATAGTGCCGGTACACTTTGACAGTTGGTTGCGTACCCCTACTGTTCTGCGTGTATATGCCCCCACCATTACCCGTAGGAAGACCTTCATATCGATGGCAGGATGAGGTGGATAGGTTTGCTGGATCAAGATGGGTAAAAATGGCAGAAAAATGATGTCTACGGCGAAGTCTTGAAGCCAGAAGTGGATATATATTTATGTATGTATAGCTACTTATGACTGATCCGGACGATAGTAACTCTCCATCGAAAGGGTAGAGAGGAAGACGCCATGATGCTTCATTACGCCGTTTATTGAAATAAATTTGGGCGATGAATTCTGTTTTTTTTTTGCCTGACTCTAGGGTCAGAATATTCTCCTACGGTTTATTTGCAAGTGTGAGCAGATCCATTAGCCCAGAAGTTTGTGGCTTAATCGTCTTTGTCGTATTCACCCTGGCGTGCGACCCAGTATTTAGGTCATAGTCTGTTCGAACTTACATGGGCACATATTTTGACTTGCGGAATACATTTAAAGTATATACTTATAATCGGTTCTGGACTGTTTTGAGTATGCTTACACTGAACATGGTACCTGCATAAGAATTTTTTGATATCGGTGAAGTTGGAGTGGCAACTTCTAGCGGAGCCTTATTATGCTGTGAATGAAGAGACTAATATGCCCAGTTCTGTTTACCTCCACCAGCTCAGCTCTGCACATCTATTGCGTGACTGAAACATATAGAGTATATATGCAGTCTTTCAGATTGGTAATACGTTCATACCGGCATGAATTCGAATTTGCAGTTCAATCTAAAGTGGTAATCTGTGGAAGCCCACGAATAACTTTAAACCTCTGCACAAGATTGTATCAAGAGATACGCATCGTAGTATTAAGCATGCTGCTTCAAGGACGATAACGAATTTAGCCGTTTGTCATTCGTGTCTTGCAAGATCAGAATTTAAGGCAACAGAGAGTTCATTTGTTAGCGCTTCGCCGCTTGCAATTTTAGGACACATGCCAGGATCATTCTACGAAGTATGTTAAGTAAATAATGTTTAAATATGTGGCGAATATCATTGACAGGGGGGTCTAATCTTCTTTGACAAAACGATCACTAGGTGAACAATTCATCTCTGAGTTTCTGCGCTTCTTAATGTCGATGAAATATGCGATGGACAAGTCCCATCACTTACTACAACAAGTTTATCGGACAGAACGTTGATGTGAAAAATCAACGAGGCTAAGTTAAAATGCATGTAGTAGAGATTCTGTCAGCCGATTATATTCAGTGTGAAGTAAATCATGCGTCGTATAAAACGAATCGTTACCGATATGTTTAGCGTAGATGTGGTTGAAGCAGTACGAAGACAGAATACCTTACTCATCGATTTGTAGTCATGCGGAAACATAAAAATGTTTTAGTTTACTCAGCGTAAAACGATCAGTCTTTTGTCAGGTGCTGTCGATGTTTTGACTTCGGTGAACAGAACTTTACGTTGTTTAGCAAATTTCTTATGTGTTTAATGATTGTGTTATATCCTATGTATTATGGAAGAATGATTTCAGTGAGCGTTTCAAGCTCAGCAGGGGCAGACACGATGGACCATTATGATGACAGCTCTAAATGATACGGGTGTCAGCGGCTGCACTGACTGTGGTAAAGAAGAGCTGACTAAATCGCAGTTTATCACTCGTGAGGGCACTTATAAGCTGATGACGTTGTCTGAGTATTCTCGCCCAAGCCGCGTGCCACTGAACCCGACGCAGGGCAACATCGTGTCTCGCAACACTCAGGTGCATGTGTCGTTCGTCAGTGTGCCAGTCAGCGATTCAGAAGTAGGCAGCTCCTCTGACCGCATTTGCTTCAACGTTGGACGAGAGTTGTTCGTCTACAACTACGAAGGCGTAACGAAGGTAAAAAATGCTACTTCAATTTATAATATAAATTAACATATGTATGGTACTGTTTAAAGTCCATGCGAGGTGCTAAAATGCCAGGGAGCCGAGGCCGGCCTACTTAAACTGACCCCCTAGCCTAGGAGCAAGTGGGAAATACGCTTTAAGGATCCGGAAAAGTGCCAGGAGATGCTTCTGTTTTAATGTGGATTCTGTTTGTGCGTGACTTCTTAAGTGTACTCTTTTGTGAATCTATTGGGTTGGATGAAGATTATGGAGCCTTCACACTGGTTGGAATTCACGATGACTCGCACTCCCAACTGAGTGACAAAGCACCACTCACAAAAAACTGCTCAAGCAAGAAAGAGGTCAGAGGGACGTCGACTTGTATTTGTAGAGGGCTCATAAACGAGTGCAAGTTGGATGGTGATAGTTACTATTTCTTGTACAGTATGGATTTATTTCTGTGATGGTGCATACTGAAAAGAGGTACTGAAACAGAAATGTATAGCGTTGTATTCTAACAGTTTCCCATGGTTAGTTGTTAGTAAGACTTCACAAAGTAAACTACATGGGAGACGGAAAAAGTACGAGACTGTGAAAAAGAGAAATATCTTACGCAGTCATCATAGGTCAAATCGTAAAGTAAAACAGAAATCATCGAAATTTGCTAGTTTCACAAAAGCTTGTTATCATGCTAACAGATAGATCATATTTTTGTAACATGAAGGTTAAATCAAAGTTGTCGCAGATGGACATCAACCAGTTATATAAGTTTAAAATAGCTAGTACTGAGCTGCTCTCTCATGCCATAAACACCAGGTGCCACTTATGTTAGCTCTAGTACTTGAATATCTCTGCAGCTGCTTTGCGTTTTTTACTGGAATGTTGATTAACTGGCAGCGCGATTCGTCTTTCCAAGCATAGCCTAAGTCTTTTATCTACAAATTTTTATTTTAGTTTAATTTCTGAACTTTTCTCTGCAGAGCAGTTCGTTGTATTTTCATCAGAAATTCGGAATTAATAGTTTTTTTTGTTTCGTATTCATTGGTGCAAATGCGCTACCTATATAAATATGTGCATAATTGTTACTTTTAGGCTGCAGACCTTACGCGTCCGATAGACAAGCGCATTTACAAGGGCACTTATCCCACGTGTCACGATTTCAACCAGGCAGAGGCGAGCCTCGACTATTGCCCCCTGCTGATCGGTTTCTCGGCCGGTCAAGTACAACTCATAAATCCGTTCAAAAAGGAGAATCATCTGAACAAGCTGTTCAATGAAGAGGTAATGAGATGCAGTGATTTTTAACATATCTGATAAAAAATCGCTTTTAGCGAGTTATCGAAAGGTCACGTGTGACTTGTTTGAGATGGGTGCCCGGCAGCGCTCATCACTTCCTGGCCGCGTACGCTAGCGGCTTCATGTACCTTTACAACGACGAGGTGATGTGTAGTTGTTACCTACCATCGTATTTGCTGCTGAAGAAGAGCGATGGCTTCGCGATCCATACCTGTAAAACCAAGTCCTCACGCAACCCGATTTATCGGTGGACCATCGGCGAAGGGGCCATCAACGAATTCGCCTTCTCTCCCGACGGAAAGAGTCTTGCTGTGGTAAGTTATAACTTTGGTTACCATTGTATTTTACCGATCGTTCTGAAAGGAATAGAATAATTCGAATCCTGCTGCCTAAGTTCACGTTGCTCTTGTTCTCACCGGTAGTTGCGATTGCTGGGCACTAAAAGATAGAAGCAGAAGATCTAAGGTTTTTTCGAAGACTGCTGGAGAAAGTTTAGTTGGTCATGAATGTAATGTTGATTATTTTGAATACTAGCTATATAACTGGGTGGCCTCAGTACTGTGCTTTCGCCGCTATCCTTCCTGCAAAGTAGTGTTCATTTATCTACCTCTGAAAGTTGAAAAAAGACTGACCTGATTGAATCTCAAACCCATGATTTCTTGACTGTGAGTGCACTGTGCTACCAATTGAACTACCTTTATGTTCATATGTAAAAGAGCGAGCAACCACCAGGGTACGGATCCACAGGTCTAGCAGTAGATTCTGTTCCTTCCAGTAGTTACGTTAATGACAAAGCATGTCATGTATACTTTGAAATTGTCGCAAAGCAGTGGTAATCGGGTACCAACATAGTTCTGCGTGCTTTCAAAGCAAATCCGGTCAGGTGGTTTCCTGACTGTAAACAAATGTAACGGAAGCATGGATAATTTAATGTATTTATTTGTGTACACTAGGTGTTTCACGTTTCCTTTCATTTTCAGCATTGTATCCAGTGTCTTATTCTGTCCCACATATGAGCTTTTCCGTTGATTTCTAACAAACATTTCTTAGATTTCATGATTACCTGGAGAAATCCAACTCCTGATGTTGTTTAAAATCAGTTTGGTTACTAGATTTAAAATATCTCGTTTGTTCGATTACCCTAAGGCTTATTCTTTCACAGGTCAGCGAAGACGGCTATCTGCGAGTGTTTAACTACAACGCGATGGAACTAATCGGCCTGATGCGAAGTTACTTCGGCGGTTTGCTGTGTCTCGCCTGGTCCCCGGATATGAAGTACATCGTAACGGGCGGTGAGGACGATCTGATCAGCGTTTTCAGCATTGCTGAAAAGAGAACGGTGTGCCGCGGCGAAGGCCATCTCTCGTGGGTTTCTAGAGTAAGCAGTTAAACTACGTCGGTTTTGGACTTACAGTGACGTTTTGGTTGCAGGTGGCCTTTGACCCCTATACTAGTCTCATCAGTTGCAACGGCAGTGCCCTTCGGCTGGATTCTGAAGAGGACTTGGGTTCAGTAAGTCAGAAAGAGTTTTCCGCATCGACACTGAACTCATCAGTTTTGAATGGGGACCAACCACTGTCCAGGAACCAAAGTCAGAAGCAGTCGGTCAGCAGTGTCAATTCACTAGGACGGGTCAGCTATCGATTCGGATCTGTCGGACATGACACCCATCTGTGTTTGTGGGATCTGACCGATGACGAGTTGAAGGCGCCCGCTGCCCGTCTTCGCAACAGCGTCCTGTTCAGCCACTCCCCTGTCATTCCCAACAACCGTGGGTCAAACTCTGCGTCTGATGGCATATTAACCACCCAGACAAAGCCTGCCGATACGAATCAGCATTCGGCGACAGCGAAAAGTAAGCGGATCTTAATTTCATTCGCTGGCAAAAATTTCGACAAATGCTGTGCCCCAGTGAAAGGGAGTGGAAATGCCGTTAATCCGGTATCTGTGCAGGAATCGAAGACTGTACTCGGAACCCTGATCTGTCCTTACCTACAAGACGTACCTATGATCCAACCGTTGATAAACAAGAAAATCTCACATGAGCGTTTATCAGTGCTGGTGTTTCGAGAAGACAGTATCGTAACAGCTTGCCAAGAGGGATTCATTTGTACTTGGGCACGGCCAGGAAGAACGGGTCTTAGCAAAAAGCACAGTATTGGATCTCCGAAAACCGGAAGTGCACCGAATCTTCTTCCCGGTGGAACTATAGTTTGAGTAACTGATGACAATAGAAAACTGTTTGCAGATGTACATAATGTACAATTGGAATTCAGCCAATTTTCACTCTTCTCAGTGCTTGATGTATATATACATATGTATATTTTAAGAACATAAGAGCGAAAACTAAGAATAATTATCTATTGTTTTATTATTGACGAATTATTATCTACTGCACACTGCGGACGATTATTGGAAAATCTAAATCTAATTGCAGATGTTTTTAAGCTATCATGTTTGATCATGTTCTTAAGCTTCAAGAACTTCGTTTACCCGTTCCCACTGAAATTTCATCGATGAGTATTCTTCACAGTAATATGTAGTCTTTTCATGAATGTCAGGCTGCTTTCTTAGCACGCAGCGACGAATTTACTGCTCTCGCAAAAATTAGCTTCGCAGCCTGTGTTTCCTCCCAGTAGCAACGCTTACTAATTAACTAAGAATCAAAAATCTGATTCCAGCACTAAAAAAGGTAACCTCCATGTTGCATGTTGGAACGTTCTTTCCATCCTGGCTAGAGCAGCTTAGATGAGGTCTGCCACACAAAGGGTCGGTACAAATTCGATGTACCTGCGGTTTGGAGAGGCTCATTTCCTGGGAAAGTAAACGCTTGA